TTTCGTTTTCACAATTCAGTGAAATGGGGTTTTTCCATTTTGCGGTACACGGTATCGTGAAGTCCTTCATAATTCATTATTCAGGTGCTGCTATAATAGTTTTTCCGTATTTGCATCGCAGACTAGCCATTATTTCCACTCAAATTTACACTGACGGTAGGCGAATAATTTATTTTTATATGAAATAACATGGCCTAAGCGTATATCGTCTTAAAAATTGTATTGTCTTCAGGGCTACCAAAAGTGCTGATGCTGTCACAGGTATTCAGTGTTTGATAACGCTTCTACCAGTAACACCTAATATATTTCGTTCCCACCCAGAGAAATCAAAAGACAGAGTCGAGGAGATCGGAAGAGTATATTTGGCGATGACCAATATATCGGAATTCTCTGATCTAATCTGGCTAGCGATTGCGGTTGATGTTGAGCACGGCGTTACCACACGTGATCTGGTGCGGATGCCTGACCGAGCGCCTTCAGCTAGATGAGTCCACTAAAACATATGGTCAGCATCCAATGTCGAAAACTTACAGTGCTATTTATTTTGGGGATTTATTTACCGCTACAGATCACTCCCCCCTAGTGGGACAGTGACGACCCTAAGACGCGGCCAGCCAGAAGTTTAAACCAAACGAGTTTGTCGTTGGTAAACAGTCTTCTGATAGCTTACTAAGTGTAGTAGCGTCTGGTCGTCTTTCCTTACTATATGGGACCAAGGTACAACATAGTTACAACGAAAATTTCGACTCCTCGTAAACTGCATCGTTCTTTTCCAGCCGTCCTGGAAAAGAAAAAAGAAAGTGTAAGTGCATGTCGAAATACACTAGTATGGGCGTAAAAACACAATGTCGGCGAAAAAATGGAAAGTATACTCAAGCACACGTAATAGCGTTAAAAAATGTTTTTTTATGTTTTGTGTTTTTTTAAATAAAAATAAAAATAAATATGCATATTAAAATTGTCTTTTTTTTAAAAAAATTATATATCATAAGAAGAAAGATCGAGATAATATAAAATGTCGAGTAGTGCCTTACGTGCAGTAGTCGTTTAAATGTTCTGGAAATTTTACTCTTCTTCCAGAACGCGTCGTTTTAGGTATATTTTCAGATACATTCGGAGTATCATCGCTAGTGTTGGTTGTCGGTTGAGGAATTATGAGTGTAGGAGTCGTGTTGTGCGATTGTACCGAAGGAAAATCGACGTGAATAGGATTTCCTTCTAAATACGCTGCTTTTAAGCGATCGATGCTGATGCTATCGTTTGTTCCGTTCTTATCGACTATATAGTACTTAGATTCACGTTGAAGAACTTTGAAGGGTCCTTCGTATGCTGATTCGAATGGTCGTCGATGCGAGTCTCGACGAACGAAAACGTGTGTACTATATCATAAGTCAGGTTGAACGAAAACATCGGTTGATTGTGGTCGGGTGGAAGCAGGTTTAACTGAGCGCATTGCATTTGTAAGCCTGTTCGTGTAGGAGGTTAGATCCATGTTCATTGAAGAGGATGAAGGATCCACGAATTCTCTTGGAAGTCGAAGTGTCGTTCCATATACGAGTTGAGCCGCAGTGTATCCAATGTCAGCTATCACTGCATTGCGAATACCTAGTAAGACAAGTGGACGAGCGTCGGTCCGCTGTGAAACGTTTGCAGCTGATAGCGAAGCTTTTAGTTGTCGGTGAAAACGTTCTACCAACCCGTTTGCTTGTGGATGGTAGGCGGTCGTTCGGAAGCGAGTGATTCCTAAAAGTGTGGTCAGACGACGGAAAAGTTCAGATTCAAACTGACGTCCGCGATCTGTAGTGATGGTTGAAGGGCAGCCGAAGACATTGCGTCGATAATGTTTCGGCACGATTGGGCGATCCCTACGTGTAGACGTGTCACAAAGTAAGGTTTCGTTACCTGTTCCCATCTGTTTGACGCGTAGTTTAAGTGTTGTGGACGATAACTCGTGCTGAAGATCACTGTCTTCTTTTTGAAGCTCGGCGAGTTTAAGAAGGTCGATTCCTTGGAAACTGTTCAAGGAAGTTATGCGAGATAAGGCGTCTGCAACTACATTGTCTGCTCCAGAGATATGTTGAATATCTGAAGTAAACTGCGAAATGTAGTCCAGTTGTCGAGACTCACGGGGAGAGTACTTGTCTGAAGGAGAGCTTAATGAGAAAGTGAGCGGTTTATGGTCCGTGAAAAGAGTGAATTCACGGCCTTCGATGTAGTGTTGGAAATGCCGTACAGCACAATACATAGCTAGGAGTTCCCTACCGAATGTGCTGTACCTCGATTCAGTGCCTAGAAACCTTCTAGAGAAAAATGCCAAGGGTTGCCAGGAGTTGTTAACCCATTGTTGTAAGACGCCACCGATTGCCGAGTCCGATGCGTCTACTGCGATACTAATGGGTGCTTCGGTGTCCTAATGTGCGAGCGTTGTTGCTTGAGCAATCAGTTCCTTAACTGTGGAGAATGCTTTTCGTGCGGTGTCGTCCAAATTAATGGATTTCGCATTTCCACGAAGTTGGTCGGTCAGAGGTTTCATAAGTAATGCGCATTTCGGTATGAAACGTCTATAGAAAGTTACGAGGCCGTTAAACGTGTGTAATTGCTTGACGGTGGTCGGCTCTGGGTAATCCAGAATGGCCGCAACGGAGATGCATATGGGCTATTTGACGGTCGTATGATTCCTAAGTCTATCGTGTGGTCAAATTCGTTTTTGGCCAACCTTAGCTTTTTGGGTCTAGTCGTCGTGCTTTAGAAAATACAGGTGGTCCTGTAGTCGTGATATGATGTGTGACATTGCTGGTTACACACGGTAGTTTTGGTTGAGTTTGTTGTATCCCAGGGTACTTATCGAGTAGTGGTTGATAGAGTGGGTCTATCATATGCTTAATTGTGACTGGGGATAATTTACAACCAGTAAAAGAAGTTACGCAAACGGATAAGTTAGTGTTTCCGTCTACTAGCCTCCGTTTGCGCGTGTCGATGATCAGATTATGGTGTTGTAGAAGATCCATACTAATGATTGGCATAGAAACATCTGCAACTACGAAAATCCAGTGAATGGGTTTGCGTAAACCCACGTTAAGGTAAACGTACCTTTTGCCATACGTAGCGATCGGTTTTCCGTTTGCCGCCTGTAAGTTTAGGGTCGATTCGTGTAGTCGGTCGTTAGGATTTGTTGGGAGAACGCTAACTTCTGCGCCAGTGTCGACGAGGCAGCGAACTCTCGTTGTCACATCTGTGACGAATAACAGACGGCTTTGTTCGCCGGCTACGGTTGCTGTTAACGCGTGCCGGCTTGGAAGTTTCCCGAATTGCTTTTCGAGTCACTCGGTTTCGTGTTGGGGAAATTGCAGGGTTTTCTGCAATTTCTGGAAAAATTTCCATACTGGTTATGATACCAGCACCAGTCGAGGTTATCTGTCTCTCTTGGTTTAGAGACAGACCGCTTACGTGAAATGCTTCTACGTGGAGTGCGCAATCTCTTACGGTCGGTACGAAGACAAAGATAACGCGTGAGTGTGTGACATAAGTCGTTTATATCATTCTGAGTCGTTTGAGGTTTTTCTTTGACTGAAAATACCTCGGTAGTAGAAGGTTTCGTAATTTCTAAAATGCGGTCGGCAGATGCAGCTAGCTCGTCTATGGCGTTGTTCTGGAACGAGACCAGAACTGCTTGAACCTGTTGGGGAAGTTTTGACAAGAAGAGTTGTTTGAATAGACCTTCGTCGAAAGTTCTTGGGCCTATTACCTCTCTCATCCGTTGCAACATGTCCGTCGCAGAACCGTGTTGCAGGTCGATGTTATTGAAGAGTTGATCTAACCTTTGTCGATCGGTTAGGTCTCCTCGTTTAAGAATCGAGCGTCTTAAGATTTCGTAAGGATCGGAAACATCACTAGTAAACATACTAGGTGTTACGTACCTGTTGGATTCGCGCGGTAGTGCCTTGACTACTGCGAGGAATTGTGCACGTGTGTCGATCACGCCGTGCTCGTGGAAGTCGGCTTCTGCGTAGCAGAACCAGGTTTCGATGTTGTCGGGCCAGAAAGGCATCAGTTGAAACGAAGGTGGGGACAAAGTCTTAAGCTTGAGTACTTTGGGTGTCTGTTCAGTCATGATGAAGTATGAAGTACGGTAATGAACGAGGGGAAAAAAATATATATCCAAGAAAAAACACGAAAAAAAATCACAATGTTTAAAAAAAATAAAAAATAAGGCAATGATATATAAAAATCCCAAAAAGGAACAGACTCACAGTTGCAATTAGGTGTACCAGATCACGTCAGTCTCACCAATGATGATGTCACAGGTATTCAGTGTTTGATAACGCTTCTACCAGTAACACCTAATATATTTCGTTCCCACCCAGAGAAATCAAAAGACAGAGTCGAGGAGATCGGAAGAGTATATTTGGCGATGACCAATATATCGGAATTCTCTGATCTAATCTGGCTAGCGATTGCGGTTGATGTTGAGCACGGCGTTACCACACGTGATCTGGTGCGGATGCCTGACCGAGCGCCTTCAGCTAGATGAGTCCACTAAAACATATGGTCAGCATCCAATGTCGAAAACTTACAGTGCTATTTATTTTGGGGATTTATTTACCGCTACACTGCGCAACCAGCAGCGATACTGTGATGGGAAGTTGTATGCTTTTCGGAAAAATGATGATCACTATCATCATCTACATCCTGAACACAAGTACCTGACTCTGACGAACTGGGTTTACGTCCATATGTACAGACATATCTCATGAAATAATACCTTACAGTCGGGTCACCATTATTCTCTTTACATACTGATATAGCGTACTTAGAAAACGTATAGTACAAAAATAATTATTAATCACTGAAGTCATATTACCTTGTGTACTTCTTTCAAATAGTTCTCAAAATTGTCCCAACTTGTAAGTCGAGGAGATAACATCTGTTGTCTCGTCGATATTATATAATATCATTGAAAATTCATCCTATAACATGCATCATCAAGATGACATCGTCTTCGTTACTTGAAGGATGGACGTTATCACATATGGTGCCGCTGAGCTCAATTCAAATCTAAAAATGTATTGATTTGACCACTCCTGAAAGCTCCACGAATTGTCGATGTGACGCACCAGTCATCTCACGACAGTTTGACCTTCAAGTGCTCGCACCCTCCAACAGTAGACGATACACCTGAAGCGCTGCCAATCTCATGCTTCTGTTATTTCTCATCGTTTTCGATTGCTTTTATTCTACGATGCTGACATGATCTCGTTGATCTTTCACTGATAACCGAAAGCATCTACCTTTCCTCAGTCATTTGAATATTTATTTGAATACGTAGTCCGTCTCCACCTTGCTGTCAAACAACCATAATAACAAGTCTGGCCATAATCATATTAAGATTGGACCACTGTAGTATATCTGTCTGTTCCGATCAACTACTCTATTCTTAGTTGCTTCAGTTGTAATATACACACCCATTTCCTTTCAAACACGGGGTTTGTAGATTAGTTACTGAATCCATGCAAAGTTTCTAGGACTGTCAAAGGTAACGTTGCGATTTTAACTCTTTCAAGTCCTATTCTCTTATAGCGTATATCCTCACTTATCTCTGTTATTTTCCCTCGAAGTTTTTATCGCGTACTTCCTCAAATTTTCTCACATTTTAAACTTTAATATAATGAATAGCATGCACAGTCATAGCGTTGCCACAAGCAGCCATACTAAAACCAAAAGTATGACTAGCATTGCTAAAGGTTTTAATTCAGACGTTACTAACTAATAGACAATCTCCGTTTATAGCAATAGGATTATAAAAAAGCTCAAGACAACAGGAAAAAGCCTCAAGTCAATGTGAGCAACAACCCGAGTTCCCAATTTTGAGGAAAATTTGACCCATTTTAGGGAAGCCACCATAGTCAACTTTGGGGAAATGGCTCAAAAACCCCAAAATTCCCCTTTAACCTTGGTCAGGGTCATTTGACCCCAAAATTTCCTCAAACTTGGGAGCTCGGGGTGGATTACTCAGCTCAATCGTTTTATTTAGTGTTCCATTTTGGAGAGTAGTGTATTGGAAAGTAGAGTAGCCTCTGATAAAAAAACGACGGGGCATATACTGTACAGTACAAAGAAAATGTTTTACTTCAGCCAAGCAATACCGCCTGTGTAAGGTCCAAGACGTAGCAAGGGTAAGCCCTCTCTACTCAGGGTAAGTTTAGATTCAACACACGTTACAGAAGAAATTTTACACCTCAGAAACCATCTGTTAAGCGACCCTTTTAAATTTGAGTTTGACGCAACAAGTCGTGGGCCTTAAGAGATGCCTGTAGATCGGCAAATACACGAGAACCAACCAGCATGGTGGTTCGCGGAGTGCCTGCGCTGGTAGTTGATAGTTGTGATAAAGCTCACAAACACGATATGTAACAGTGGCGTTGGGTATCACATAGCATAGGCTTTCACATCACTACAATAATTAGCGTGTCCAGGCTACTTCGTCCTTTCCACCTCACTATCATTAAGTCTTCTCTGGTGGCTGTAAACTTCAGAAACCGAATGGGCTTAACTGAGGCTCCTCAGACGTGGTAGGACTCGAGGAACGGTCTCTCTAATCACGTCAAATGTTGCAAAAGCCAACCTAGATCGGCAGAGCAACAGCAGAAAGATCAAATAGAACACAATTCGGTGTCGGCTGACCTTGATTAACAACCGACAGTTTAGATCACAGAGAACATGGTTTCGCTAATGGGACATGATATACAGGCGAAACCCTACAAAGTTCAGTTCCCACGCAACTGACTAACACAGTTTAAACAACAATCTCCTTAAAATCCGGTTGACCCATACGTCTGTAGAGGAGCATCAGGTGATGAGAGTGGTGGTTAACAGTGGATGACCACTTGTGGACAATGAGGGATATGATTCAGTATGCTATCCAACACAATGTACCACAACGTAAGAATACACTCGGAAAGCGAAGACCCTGTGTTAGACGAGTCACAAAACGCTTGCTACTGACCAAACGGTGAGCCTGGGACAAGTTGAGAGTCTCCGTGAAAGATTCTAATCTTAGCTTTTACTTGGCATTGAGAAACAGATGCGACGCCAGAGTCTGCAGTAATGGGATATGTATTCAGGTCAAGCTAGCGGCCAAAATCCAAACTGACCCCATATATCTCTACTGATTCATGATCAGGAGGAAGCCCACAAGCCAAGGGATCTGTACTCGTAGAGGGTCAAATGGCTTTGAGATGTCAGAGATCTTTAGCTCCAACTTCACAGACCAACTAAACTAGGAGCCTAGAAGCGCGAAGTATCTCTGAATTTAAGTGGCAGTTTAGGGTCTTGGATTAGTATTTCGGAGACTAAAATCCCTGCGTCCAGCCGACCTATAATCCTGAAACACTGTGCGGAGGCCATCAGGACACTAGTGTTTGACGTGTTCAGGCACTCGCTAGATTTACACCAACTGCCAAGAGAATGTAAGCAGTCCACTCTCTACAATCTTCATTGAGGCGATAGGGAAGACTCAACCTGTTACAGACCTATTGCATTATTCCCAATACCGTCGGAAGTAACAGGAGGACTGTTGAATGAACAAATGAGAGAATAGATAGATAAAAACAACATCCTATAGGAAGTCCAATGCGGACTCAGGAAAGGCAGCTCCTGTGAGTCCAATCTCCTCATATCATGACAAAGCTGGAAGACCTGTTGGGACCAAAAGATACCGATTTATCTAATATTCCTCGAATTAGCTAAAGCTTTTTATACAGTGCCTCAAGTACTCGCAGCAAAGGTTGCAAAGATGGGTTAGATAGGCCCTATTCTATCTTGGTTCCGAAACTTCCTAAAGAAGCTTGATCTCAGACTTGTACACCCCAATGTTGTTCCTAACGCTGCTTAAAACGTGCGCATGGCCCCACCTTGAGGTCCACCATGTCGTTTACACGTGCGCGTAACAAAGATGTTGGGTATTGGCAGTGTATTCTATCTACTTGCTGAGAGGTCGGCTGACATTTTCTTTTGTTCTTTTCCCTTCCAGACTCTTTCACTGTCTTAGCATACAAGGTACTTTCAGGTTAGACGGAAACGTACCCAAAACTGAACACCACAATTATTTCATCTGGATTTGCTTACGCACTGTCCTTCGCTCTATACATCGGATCTTTTTTCCGGTTTGCACATGTAATTGGTCTCTCATTTAGCTTTTAGGAGTTTGACATCTGACCATCTCTTCATATTGTCCTGACGAATTTTCGTTTATACTGCACGAAATTGAAATAAATTTGGCGTTGAATCGTGTTATTTTGAGGATGAAATTAGATTACAAAGGTTGTTGTAACTTTTTGGATACCAGAAGGTTAAACATCATAAATGAAGTCAACAATGTAATTATTATTCAGATGCTCTATCCTTTTTAGATTTCTTTGAAAGGAAACAGCTTCTCTAGTGCTTTCAAGTCATATTTCCAAAGTCAAACTATTCCAAATGAGGTTTTGTGGTCACTAGAATGTTATAACGATGTCTACTGCGGTATATATAATTCTTCTGGGGACCTGTTCTTCACTGCTTCGCAAGGTGAATATGTGATTGCCAATTGTAACTTTTATACAGATGGGTTTATTCGAGTATTTGATTCTTCTGGACATTATTTTCGTTACATGAATGAGATTAATGTTCCTGAATATACCTGGAGTATTGTGTCACTCTCTTTAAGGTGTGTGCATTTTCATTACTTACAAAATTTTCTAGCAATTTGGGGGATACCCTTGTTTTCTGCAGTTTGTCTCCTATTCGTAAGTAACAATATTTATTTGTAATGAGATTTCAAATGCAATGTTTTATTTTCAATGTATAGTTTAGTTACCATGTCCATTTTGTCAGAATGTAGTTTACCGATTTTCGCAGAACCATTCTTGCTTTTTAAAATTGTTTGTCCCTAGCTTGTGTAATTTTAATAAAAATGTTCCCATAGGATTCTGTGTCGTCCTCCCCTCAACTAGTCGGCTGTGTGTTAATCAAAATGAGGATCGTACAAACTCAGTGTTCCGTTTTTATCTTAGAGCTATCAGATAAAACTGGACTTCCACAAAATCACTGCTGAGATTAACAGAGACTAACTGATCCATAGTGATCATTTCTGAAGATTGATAGGATCATCTGCTTTTGGGGAATCGCATCATGTTTGATCAATCAGCCGCCATGATTGTCTCCTTAATAACTTGGGTTTTGCGCGTTTTAAGAGATTGAGATACTTCAACTGAGATGTGTCACCCATCCAGGTCACCGACTATCCCGACGTTCAGTCTCGAACAACGTAGCTGGTTAAAAATATCATCAAACTAAGACATATCAGTTCGTGTCATTGGCAGTAGATTTGAGTTATATCTGGAGGCACCTACTACCTGTTAAGATACGGGTGCTCATTTTCAGGTGTAGCTGGGTCCATCTGATATGGGCTTAAATCAGTCACAATGTCACATTCGTACTAATTCTTAATTTTTGTATCTAAAGTCATAGTATCGTCCCATTTTTTTCCTTTCGAATCGTTCTTTATATTTAACCTTGCCCATCCATTACGTCTGGTTCTGAGTTCACCCAAGTAGGTACTATCAGTAAAAGTCAGTTGATGTTGGTAACGATTAATAATGTTATCGGGAGTGGACTGTAAGCTTCAAAATAAAAACGTCTACTTTAAAATACAGAGATTTTACTAGTTTATTTTTGTTTCATTTCACCAATGTTTTACCCTCATCTTAACATTCACATTTATTTCAGTGTATTTCACCAGTCTAACCGATGTGCGTGATGAGGAGCTAAATCTCAAACATGCCGAACTTCAACCTGGTGTAAGAAATATAACGAAGACTTTCAGTGTTGATTTTCTTGGCGGGAGTAGTAATCAAGTGGTTAGTGGGTAAGGTGTTTCTCTCTGTCTGTATCGGTGTCTTATTTTATTATTTACTTTGTTTGAACTATTGGATTTCTTTTACAACACTTCGCTTATCAACACTTTTGTCACTGTTTTTAATTGACTTATGAATATGTGTATAAGTTTGTCTATAAACAATTATTTGGAATAATCATAAATCTGTAAGTATTAGTCAGACCTCATACAATTAATCTCTAATGAACTGTTATCAAGTACAACTGACAAATGTTATGAAATCAAGTGAATAAATTACGTTTTGTTTGCTATACATCTTCTACATGCATACCTACTTAATAAGTACAATGCAAAAAGTAATTTAGTTATAAATGCTTTTCACAATTATTTAAGCTCACTTAATATAAAAACAGCGCATACTTAAGTTTATGACTTAGTTAACTGCAAGTAATATATGCAGATTTTTTGAGTTAGATGATTACGGTTATATGAATGTCTAAATTATGGGAATTTGCACTGTTTTACTAGTGTAGTTTCCGTGAATATATTCCCATCACTCATTTTTACTAATAGTTATCTGTGCTTTTAGCTTCGTATTTCATTCATATGATTATCACATTTAAAACTTGGGCATAATAAAATCCTATTTGGTTTTCACGTATGAGCAACTTATGTTCTGATATAAATGTTCATCTTTCTAAGCTGCCGTATAAATCACAACAAGGGCCAATTGAAAGTAACAAGATACATATCAGATTCTTGGCAGTGTTAGTTGCATCAATGATTCAAGAAAAATCAGACAGGAAGTATTGATTGAATAGAATGAATTAAACAAAGTAAAAAGTATGAAACTATGTAAAAGCTCATAATTTCAAAGGTGGAGGACGAATGCAACTGCGCTGCTGCAATCAGGATCCCTAAGATCTTCAGACATAAGCGAAATATCATGTCTCTTAATAGCTGAGTTTTACACATTATTGCATTTTACCCTGTAATACTACTGTAAAACGTTGTCGTTAAGTATACAGAATCATCAGTTATGGATCGTCTTTGTGTATTTCTATTGGTAACACTATGTTTCATTCACTTGTCTTCGCTTTACTGTGCTGATGTAAATTGTGATCACTTGTCCCGATACACCTGAGAATTAGAATTAGTCAAGACCATTTCCTTCTTGTTATCACGTGAGGTTCGATGTCTTTCACTAGAAGTCAGGGTAGTGGCAAGTTTTACAATTCATTTATAGTTTCGTTTAAATCTCAGTCAGCTGATAACTGGGACAGCTTAAAATGCCTTTGGTTGTTTTCTAAAAACAGCAACTCGTTACACTTTTACTCAATTTGACCAACTAACTGACAGATATCTGAAAAGCTTTTTTTCTCTACATTGGCTTGTGACAATCTTTTTAAGTGTTGAAACAAAAGTACACAAGCATAATTAGCTTTTACATATGGATTACAAAAATAGCTTAACACACTATTACGTAGTTGTACGCGAAGTACTAACAGTTAGGACTCGCTAAAAATAAGTTCCTACGTTTCAAAAGCTGTAGATAGCAGTACGCGTTGTTTTACTTGCAACCAACAAATTCTAATAGTAACAATTACCTCTTCTGTCCGTTCAGCCATTCAAATCCTTGCTATCTATCTGATACATTCATACAATTTCAATGTTAAGCTTTTCAAGTTGCTTGTATTTTGAAGTGAATACTGTTTAAATTAAGCCTTTATGATATCATTAAAAGTTTCGTTTCTCTGTCTTATTGGGTTATGGATGAGACTTAGTGATTTCATGAGAGAATTTTCGTTTGTCAAAATCAATTTGTAGAATCCTGGTTGATAGACAAATCTAACTACATGACGTAGGTAAATAACAGCTGCTCAGAAAAACAAATAATTGAATTAAACCTCCTAATGATTTGATTTCAAAACAAGACCACTAGCCAGAAGAATAGGTTTATCATGTAATAAGTTAACGTGCTTATGTAGAAAATACTAACACAAAATAAATGTAAAATATCATAAGCGATTGGAGAAAATTACTTCGTATATCACTCACTCTCCAATCAATAGAAACCTGATTATTGGAACTAGTTCTTGGACATCGTATCATGTTGCTACATGATTTTATCCTCGTTTATCTCCTAAAAATTAACTATTCCACTATTTTCAACGCAGATGACAATCTTCTTATAGGTATTGATTAGTTTATATTTGTCACACTTTCCAGTAAAAACGTTTTTATCAATTTTGTCTCTTTTTTCTCATCAGACATAACAAAGGTATGGTTTATGTGACGGATCTGCAGACAAACAAGTATGAATCATTCGTAAGTATGAGTTAATCAATCATGTTGATTCCTTTACGATGACTTGTACGCTTTGTCTATCGAATAATAATAATAATAATAATAATAATAATAATAATATTATTATTATTATTATTATTATTATTATTATTATTATTATACCTTCAAGTTTCATTTTGTTAAAAACTACTTGGACCATTCTATTCTTCATAATTTCATTTTATTTATTAGTACTATTTTTTAGCCAGCTTGCAAAGTTGTTTTCAAATTATTTGCTGCGATCATCTTAATGAAAAAATTAAACCAATTCCTTTGCATCATTGTGGAAGACTAACATCAGTTCTCTGTTTGCTTTTAAGCTTTACATTTAGATTTAAAACAGAAACGATAAAAATAATATCGGATTAAAAGTTGAAGATTCTCACTTTTAAACTACTCAGTTATTTATTTCTTTTTGTATTGTTTGTTTGGATGTTCCCATTGACGTTTAGGACTGCAATTGATCAGTCTCTTATTGGTATATGTTCATCCTGTTCTTATTGCGTTAGGTCACAAGCATTATAAGCAAACATGGATGGTGGCTAACAGTGGAATTCAGGACGCGGGTTTCGTCTCATTTGGGACTCATTATCTGGATGTGACTGCATTTCCATTGCATAAGCCAGCGGCTATCCGGCTCAGTAGCTAAATGGATAAGTCGATGGCGTTTGGAACGAAAGGTACTGTTTTCGAGTCCTGAGGTGAACATCAACTCTGGGATGCAGGTACATCCAGCTTATGAGTCCCAAATAAGATTTATTTATTCATTTGAACACACAGATATTGATACAAAGGGGCACCGAACACATATGCGCCACACAAGTTACTTGATTTGTTTGTCGGCTGTGGTACTGCCCAGGTGCGCAGACCGAAACGAGTGGTTTTCTTAAGGGGTCACACCCGGAGCTTTCGACTTACAGGTCTGATCCATAAGACAGTGGAGCAACGTAAAGAGATGCAGTCCCATGGTAGCCGGTGACCAATAATTGGTTCATATGCCATTTGTTCCTTCAGGATCCTTCAGCCCATGTACACCATTGGTATGGAATCAGGGTTTTCCAACTCCCCTAGGTGGATCCTCCATATCCACCAATTTACTAAACAACACCCCAGCCATGATAAGCCAGTGACTAAGGCTTCTCTGGTAGTGACAGTAAACACGTGGATGTGTGAGAGCATTTCGTGAGGGAGAGCTGACCCTCTCCACTCTCGGTCGTACCAGGGAATTCGGGCGCTATGGGGGTGTTGTTGGCAGAGGGGATTCGAGCACACGACCTCCGGTCACGTGTACGAATACCCAAAACCTAGACCTCGCGTCCTGGATTTTACTGCTAGCCACCATCAATCTGTGCTTATAATACTCGGCTGTTTATTCATTTGTTTTTGTGTATCACATTTCAATTCAAGTTTCTTTAGATTACTTTGATTTTGAGATCAACATTCTACTGATAGCATACTTCTTTTACAAAATAAAACAAATAGAACCCTTTCCTTGGTCAATAAACTCGCAATATATGGGGATGATTTAATGTTTCCAAACAGCAAATACTGCAGTAAAGTATACCAATTTAAATAACTTAAGAAACCGTCATAATGTTAGTCTACCTATAGAAGAACAGGCTTACACATATTTCGCATCATACTTTACCTAACTCTCATGGTGAACCCCCATGTTTTACAGCTGAAACTTGGTGATTAAATTGATAGTGGGTGGGTAATAAATCCGGCTGTTGATATGGCGCACCAAACTGAAAAATTAGACTAACATTAATGATCCTTAAGTAAAATATTGTTTCGGACTAAAATATATTTCATCACGAATTTTAGAATAGGTTATTAGAGATTCAACAACTTATTATCAGAAGTAGCTTTACATTACGGTTTGTAGCTATCATGCCAGAGATTTTTTGTCTTAAATGACTAGCAAGATAAACTTCTAGAAATAACTAAATTTATCGGCTCTGTATTCTTATTTGAACACTCGTCTAATATTCGGATTTTCCGGTGTTATTGTTATATGATTTCCTTTCTTTAACTTCTGTGAAATGTTATCTTCCTATATTTTGTTTGGTTCACCTATTGTGACGATCGGACCGAGTAATGTAGACTTGGACATTCTTTCTTGAGGTTATTCCTGGATCAGTTTGCAACATGGTTTGACAAACAGTATAAAGTATCAAGTTGGATGGTGAAGTTGTGTCACCAATTACTGATGTGATAATAGATTTAGTTAGCAGTGGTTTAGAAGTTAATGCACTGATTGGTAAGCACAACCGTAGTACCAATCGACATAGTTAAGCATCAATTCCATCCATGTTTACAAATTATTTACAATTATTTTTTTGTTCCCATTTTTGTATGCCACGTACATATCTTTTTGAAATCACCATAGTTTGTGTCATTACAAACCAGCTACTCTTATTGCTCGGTAGTCTTCGGACACCTTATTTCACTCGACTATTCCCCGAATCAAAACACGATTGAACAGGAGTATGATTTCACAATTAGAAAAACGTGAGTATATCCATAGTTTTACAAGAGAATCTAATCATCTCCCAATATCCCCTCGTGCTGATTGGCTGAGAGATGGTCAATCAGCATGTTCCAACACAATCCCTCACTGAACATGGTTTCATCCAAACTCTGTCTCGCTGTAGGTTTCTGTGTTAGCTTTCTCGTTCTAGTGTAGTTGAGTAGTCTGAGAACAATTGGTTTAGGTTAACGAGAGACGTAGTAATAGTGTTATCAAGTAATGGAAAATTCACGTGATTACGTTGAAATCACTGTTGTTTATGTCATAGTTTTAGCACCACAGTGACAACATACCTGTTTCACCCACAAATTAAGGCCGAGGTATGAATGATGCAAATTACATTTGACTCAGTTAGCAGACGGAGTGAATTTATTACAAATCATGCAACTAGTTTTTCGTTTACAACCCATGATCATCTGTCTGTCCAATGATAAAATCCAACGTCAATTAGGTGACAACGTGTTGATACACTAAAGTGACATCTCTCCAGTGAGTCGTAATTTTGTTGACCTAGTCATACATCGGCCTGTAACAACTCATTACATGTGAGGATTTTGAGACAGGGGTTGTTGTCCCTCGCGTTCATACAGAGCAGCAACTATTTGTTGATGTCAACCTAAAGCTCATTTCTTCTACTGTTTCAGATGCTGAGTTTACTAACTGTCCTAAGCGAAAATTTCGTATCTATCGCCCCACTCTAGAAGTGGATTTTTAACTGTTATGTCATTATTTTAAAAAGTTTTCTCATTGCGTGGAGGTATTTAATAGCGCTTTTTGATTAAGTGCATAGCTCCTCGAAATAATTTCAACAGACAGACTGGACCTTATACCCAAACGAGTTCTGAGTCATCATTAAGAAACTTGGATCATTTGGACATGTGTAGCAAAGATGTATAAAACAAATCGCTTGTTTTATTCACTAATATAAAATTATACGAACCAGGCTCATACATAAAAAACTAATGAGTTTTCCCACTAACTGTAAGCTTTAAAATAAACAGCATTAAAAGTTAAAACCAATAACACTCGTTAAAAGGTTCATTATATTGAACTGAACACATTCTTTAAATTGACAATAAACTATGTTTCTCATTAATGAAAACTCCTTACTTGTTCCCCATCCACGTAAATATGTAATTGATTCTACCATATGTTCATATCTATATGCACAGAACTTTACAGTATATTAGTTATATTGTTATTATAAGCAGATTAGCATATCACTAATTCGTGATGTCTTGTTTACTAAGTTGATAGATAAAGCGAAGTTATGATTTGGGTTATGTGTGTAAATATGGGTTAGTTTTTTGGGAATCGAATTTTATTATTGCTTAACATATTTTGATCTACACTTGTTAGAGTACATGCGGTTGTATAATTGTTCTCTTTGTTAACTTTTTTTTGTTCTATAAGTAGGTGTAAAACTTTTGTACCAGCTTTGATTACTAACAAATATTTTAACATAGCTAATTGTATTTTGATCCTACAGGTTCAGTTTTTTTTTCATTTTAATCAAGGCTGTAAATCCACGATCAAAAGCTGATGTAAATGCTGTTACTACACTGGATCGATCAAGTAATCTTATCCTTGCGGGTAGTGATGATACAAATGTTAGAGTAAGCTATTATTTTGATGATTATTTAGGTGTTTTCATCCCATTTCCACCTATTTACAAATCTTACTTTGGTCTCTGTCCAGTTCAGAAACTTTTTATGTAAACCGAGTTAGTATATTTGACCATAATTAATTATTAGTGATTGAAAATATCTTAATTTTGTAATGTTCTACTTGTCACACAGATTGTAGCGGATTTACTTATGGCTGTATTTCTGCCTTTTTTCACGATGGTCAAACATTTAGTCTTGCTCTGATCCCGTACCCCTGATCATAGATTAGTATCTCCAACTTTCACGTGATTTGTATCCTTGAGTCAAGTGAGTACACGGATCTGTAAAAGTTCTAGGTTAAAACTAAATATGAAATCAGACAGTAATTCTATTTACTTTAGCTATGAATAAAATAATTTAAGTCACTTGACAGTATTTTGATGTAAAATCTAGATAGACGTTCGTGGTACAGTCGCTGCTCATTAATCTTTGCTGTGAGTATTTTTACTAAATTCCCTTGATTGTCGTTTCGTGGTATTAAACGGTAGAACTTAGTTTCGTAAATCTTTGTCAGATATCTAGTAAAAGTTTGTGCAAGTTATTTTTCTATTTCCTGTAAGCTGCAATCATTCTTCCACTGATTTCTCTTGTTTGTACAATAGGTAGTATAAATAAGAACTTTCGTCTAAATTTGAACGAATAGTTTCACATTTGGGCGCCGAGTTAATGTGAGTCATTAAAAAGGAAGAATTTGAGATTTTACAAATACATTCTTCCTCTTTAATATGTAGTATAAGATTTAATTAGTTAATGGACATAACTGACAGGTGATTCATTTTTACTTTCATTGAAATAGTAAACCGATCAATGTTAGACCGCCATTAGCAAGCTGGAAGCACTGGACGGCTGTGTTGTCCTATTATGGGACTCCTCAACAGTGCTTGTCCATTATTCCGCACGTGGGATTCAAACCCAGGACCTTCGGTCACGCTCATTGACGATTAGTCTTTGTATTTAGTTGTAACGCATGTAGCTACTTATAGGTATCATAACTGTTTTTTAAAGAAATACTTTTAACCCGTATTAGGCTATTGCATACGTAGAGTTTTTAATTTAATAGGCACATGAGCCCATGCAGTTCGCACATGTGAAATATCAAGATGTTTTCAGTTCACGCACTGAGTAACGTTTAATTCAATAATCATTAGCGTTGACCTTGAAACTTTTCGACTAGAAGGGTGCATCTGAATAGTTTTCCACCATTGTACTATATTTGGCTAAAGTATATTGTAATGACGTACCAATCAAACCGTAGGTTGCGAGTTCTAAGGCTATAGGACATCTAAACAACTAAGTAAGCTTCGAATTAACCTTCTGTTAATGTTTTTAATGATGTTATGCTACAACGTTTGTAAGGACAGGTTATGATTAGAAGGTAAAAACATGTGATAGAAGTATAGTATGTGGACAAACCAATCAGATTTGATGTAAAGTTTATTCATACATACATACATACATACATACATACATACATACATACATACATACATCTGCAATCTCGCCACCTAATGTTGAACTCAGTAATCTTCGGTTTCACTCACAAAGGCCTAACCTCGAGACAGACTACTGAAATAGAATCCAGAGGTTTATACGTATAATTTAAATAACTTTACAAAGAAAAGAGAACTCTTCTCAGGACTTTCGCCGACGTTTCCTAGTTCGGTTGCGTTACCGCGCTGGGCGCACGCCGAACCAAAGGCCCGACACACCAGTCTCCGTGAACAGGGTCGGGAACATTAACCCGATTCCCTTTCGCTACAGGAGGCTGCAATGCAACAGTACTTTGCAGATTACTGAACAAAGCCCGCGAACGGACAATGTCAGGCACTCCGTCTCTGTTCCAACTTTCCGGATCACTTAGGACCGCTTGACTGGTGGTCAACTCGGCCTTCAAGGTTCCCACCTGAATATTTGCTGCTACCACCAAAATCTGCGCCTGTGGTCGCTTCACCTATGCTCACGCCTGAGGTTCCCCGCTAGCCACATCGACCCTCCTAGTCGTTACCGTCACTCCATGTCTGAACCAAGTGCAGCTTGCCCCCACACAGTATAGACTCAGCTTACAGCAACGGTCGGGTATAGGTTCAACGCTCGAACACCATTCATTTTTAGGGCTGGTTGATTCGGCAAGTGAGTTGTTACACACTCCTTAGCGGCTTCCGACGTCTATGGCCGCGGTCCTACTATCTAAACTAACCAACACTTTACGGTACCTCATGAGTGTCGTGTTGGGCACCTACACCGAACGTTTGGTTCATCCCACAGCGTCAGTTCTGCTTGCCGAAAATGACCCACTTGGCACTCACATTCAATGTAGAACTCCAATTAAGCGAATTAAGCTTCTCACCCACTTAAAGTTTTTGAATAAGTTAGGGATGATTTCTCTCCAATACCTCTAATCATTCTCTTTATCGGATAAAACTGTTTATTTCTCAGAATGCCAGTTATCCTGAGGGAAACTTCGGAGAGAACCGGCTACTAGATAGTTCGATTAGTCTTTCACACGTCAGAATCACTACGGTCCTCAACCACAGTTTCCTCTGGCTTCAACCTTCACAAGCATAGTTCATCATCGTTCGGGTCTCAACGTGTACACTCTTGCTTCTCCCCAACGGTGCACGTTATGATGCTTATTGTTTAGAGTTTGTACATATTGATTATCGTGTTTTGGTTCCTTTCTTAGCTTTTTGATATTCGTGCATTGAACAAAGGGTGTCAAAGTTTATTTTCTGGACATGTGGACGGTATCACATATTTAGATTCAAAGGTACTGTTGTTTTTCTGCATTTGATTAATTTCATAGTTATGTTTTATTATCATATCAAACCCATAGAAAATGTATAGTTTTTAAAAAGATAAGAAGTATGAATTGATTTATATGAGAACTTTCGTCTAAATTTGATCAAATAGTTTCATAGTATTTTGACGCCGATATGATGTGAGACATTAAATAGAAAGAATGTATTTGTAAAATTTCAGCGAATAAAGTTGAAGTAAACCCAACGTTTCGCCTGGCAATCTGGTCCAAGCCCTTCAAAGAAAATATAATCAAACATCAAAATTATTGCTGTTTGGTTATGAGTTGATAAGTTTACATTTTTAGTACTAACCCACAGAAAGTCTCATTATAATTCATAATTAATGAAATTGTGATTTATTTTAATTTTAAATGCTGACTGGAATAGTTCATTTGTCTGCACTAATGTCAATCATTTCGTTTCCATTATGATAATGTGATTACTCACTATTAGCTTAGTTGTTTGTATAGTAAGTTCCTTTACTCGTTTTACAGAGATCCTCAATGTCTTTATAAAACTGGAGGAAATACTCTCGCAACACCAAATACCTTGAAAAAAGAACACATACAATCCTCTATTCTTTTCTCTCAATGATCATACATTCTGAATAGAAATACCATGTTCTGATTAAATTTATTTGAATTACTAAAGAAGATTAATTAAGCGGACTTCTACTGCATTGCATAGTGCGTACTTGGATTCTTAACTAATAACCAAGTTACGCTTAAAAGTACTGTGTTGCTATGAAAAATAAAGTCAACACTCCATTCCTTAGATACTGAAATGTCTGGCCACAGTGAACGAATGATACGTTTAGGATATAACTTAGTTATTCGCAACTCCGCTTTCAATGCGATGTGCGAGACAGTTTTCATAGACGGTCAAAGGGCGAAACCTCGTGCATTAGATTTCATGCGAATAATATTTCTATTGATCGCTGTGAAATTGCCGTAGTGCTTGAATACGAAGATATTTGGGTCCAGCTACATAATCTCTGAAAATTAAGCAGTTGTACACGATACGTAAAGGTTCAAAGTAACGAAAAAGTTGTTCTAGTCCTCCATCGAGAGGTTTCTGTGACTGATCGTCTTCTGAATTAACAGATCATTGGTTAATGCAAGTTGACTGTCCACAACTGACTGTAGTAAAGCGTGAAAAGTTGATATCCTACATAGTCTTTTGTAGATAACTCGGCCCTTCAGTTAAACTAATTAGAATGTATAAGAAAGAAACATAAAGTCTTGCCAATTGGTGTGATATTAACTGTTAACAAAAAAAGGTTGGCCAATTCATCCCATATAAGTTATAACAATAAGACAGTTGAACGAGCGGGTTAAGTGGTTTTCTCGTTGCAGTACGTATCCCATTTGATGACTGAGTAGTATACCTCAAACATTTTATCTATTCTAGGGTGATGATGTGTACTTTTTGTCAAACAGTAAAGATCAAACGGTTAAACTATGGGATACAAGAAAGTGTCGTGAATCGGGGAAAGAAACTGTAAGCAGCGTCTACTATTTTTTATAATACGATCATTAACGGCATTGATTTTATTGCTCTGAACTTTTTAAAAATAAGTCTGTTCATGGACGTTGTAAGTTGCCTGCTAAACTAACGATCGCAAATAATACTTGTTCTCATAGTACAAATCATGAAGTAATCCTAGCTAGATCACCATTGGAAACCTAAAAACACTGGACGAGTGTTTTGTCTTAGTATGGGACATCTCAGCAATGTGCATTCACGACCCCAGAACCCAGGTTCTTTGGAGAACATCAAGGCATCCTTTCAAAGTTCTTTTCGCTTCAATCTGACTGATAATATAGACAAGGAAGAAAGCTTTTTTGATGAGCATCCGTCAGTAAATAATTTAGTCAATAGAATTTGTTGGTAAGCTAGACAATTTGCAAATAAAGAAGTTGTTACAATATTTGAATGATTAGAATAAAATAGGATAACATAGAAATTCCTGCTAGTGACTTATATAACGTTCCTTCACAGTGATGATTATATTAAAAAAAGATATAAAAAAAACTTATGTAGAGAAAGTTGTTGGTTTATAATCTAATGGCATTGTAATTTAGTTATAAACATGACGTGATCTGTATAAATTATTTATAATTTTGTATATCAAGTACTTCTTCATGTAAGTGTCTATGCTATGAAGGTAGAATTTTATAATTTTGCTAATAGGTTTAAAGTTACTGAAATGATTAAATCCAATACTAATCGATGGATAAAATAAGATATTATAATGCAACGAAGTGATAGCTATCCTAGTTCGAAACGATATCAGAATGCATAACAGCAGCCCATTAGCATAGGCTTTTTTCTCACAAAACAACATACATATATACAAATATTCAACACAATAAAAATGATCAGAAATCATTTCACAAATAAACGGCTGAATGATGTAGGAACTATGGATTATTTATTCACCAACTAAATTAATCCCTAACTATGAAGCTTGATACCTATTTCCACACCGCCCCTTCCCGCTCATTATATCAGTCTACAAAAATGGTCGTTTTCATGTCAATATCTTACGGTACAGGATGCACTATATATGTTTCGTTTAATGTGGTGTGACATTTCATCATTCTTGATAGTTTAACATTTCGAATTTCGTTACATTTTTATGACCCAATATCCAGGCTAACCTCAGTTGGTGATTACTTTATTCTCTGTAATTTACCTTGTATCTATTCCGCAATATTTCTTTGATTAGACTGAATTTATTCCTAACCTTTTAGGAATTGTGTTGTATCTCTCAGATTCCTACGTTCATTTGGTGGATATGTGCTACTTCGTAGAGTCATTTCATTTTGAACCCTAACTTTTATTAAATATGTATTTTTATTCTTATTGGGTTGAAATACACTATTATCTTCATTGTGAACACTTAAGGACAACTCCAGATGCTTGAAATTAGATATTTATTATTTCACTACAATATCCAGGACCAACCCACTAAATGGACAAACAAATAGCCGATAAGGTTGAATGCAATACACGTATTGAATGGTGAAGGTATTACGGATAATCTCAGCTTGTTGTCTGCTTAAGTCCTTATTATCTTTCAACTCTTAATAAAGTACTTCCAGTGATTAGATTGGAATACTATCTTAGTTACAGCTCTATTATTAATATTACTTAATCTTTATGTAGTATTTTAGTAAATGATAACAACACCATATATCATAAAATTCTCTGTAAATGGGTTAAAGCAGAAATCGATCATTAAGGGTTTGTGTATTGAGTTAGCTTCCATTGCAAGTACAAGAACTCAATTATTATTCAATTTTAAGAATCTGAAATACTCTACTATAAACGATATCGTGCTTATCAGAGGAATGCCAACAGTGTGATCAGTATCGACCTAATGTCGTTTAAATCCTATTCCAGTGATACAATAATGAACTTTTGTTAAAATATCATGTTACTGTTTATCGGGACGTGTTAATAATATATGCAATATATCTATACATCTACTGTCTGTTACTAACAAAAAACCCTATTCATTCCTGTGGTTTGCATCCATTGCTGTTTACAGTCAAAATTGGCTTTAATAACATTATTATAATAATGTTTCTTTGTGTTATATTTTTGCCTTTAGCGAATGACTCCTCGTTCTACTTGGGACTATCGAATTCATCCGATTCCACGTGGATGTAAGTTAAATTTTGCAGTTTATTGCAAAACATTTCTCAAAACTATATTTTTATTAACTGGTTGGTTAAAAAAATAAAAAAAACTACACATTTATACTTGTCATTCATATAGAAGCCTATTGATTTGTTTCATGTTCTGTCATCTGGTTCAGTTGTTAATGCATAATTCTTGTCACTATTCATAGAGAAATGAGTAAGGTAAGCTTTATTGCCAAAGGGCCAGCAGTTATGCTTAAAGCTTATGAGGACATATTGTTAAATCTTTATAATAACGATTAATTTTATGTACAACGGTTATATCTCTTAGGGCTGCCGACCAGCCCAAGGTACTGGCGAATTAAGGAACGATGAGCCATTCTAATACGAAAGGTTTCATTGCAGACTGGATAACGACAACTAAACTCTAACACAAAAGAAAACTGGATATTCAAACAGAGTAACTTGAAATAGTACAACTCAGTCAATATAGTAACGAAAGCACGAACTTCAAGTGTACAGAAAATTAGCGAATTCAGAATAGTGCCGGCTAGTAAGAAAAAGGGCAAAGATCACGCGAAAAATCGAATTAAAACAAAAACATTCGGGTTTACCTTTCATAGTAATACCAATTATGAATGATTATGAAAAATAACTGAGTAATCCTGCAATAGCACATACATATGTGTCAGGATTAATCAAGATAAGGCCCCCAAATGTCCTGGTACGGCCGAGGTTGGGGAGAGTCAGCTCTCCCTCTCGAAATGCTCTCACATATCCACGCGTTTACAGTCACTGCCTTATCGCGGCGGGAGTGAGGACGAAAAGCGAATGTCCGGCGCCTTAACCGGGTTGGTGGATATTGAGGATCCACCTAGGGGAGTTGGAAAACCCTGATTCCAAACCAATAATGTACATGGGCTGCAGGATCGTGAAGGAACAAATCGCGTATGAACCAGTCATTGGTCAACGGCTACTATTGGACTGCATTTCCTTACGTTGCTCCACTGCCTTATGAATCTGTTATATCAGTGGTACACGTTCATTTTAATACCTAATTGTACCGGTATGTATGTGTACGGAATAAACTTTACAGAATATTGTTTTGAAAATCGTATTTTATAAATAGCTAATAAATAATTAACATTATTTTGTAACCTTCTTTAAGTCAAATTTTACTGCTTGAAGATGTTTTCCGTCCAATATGATATTTCTAACACTTCTACGTTTCAATGTTTATGATGTTATATCATACCTAGATCCCATACCTTCTAAACAAAATTCTTCTAAACCTATTCGAGGTGATAACTCTGTGCTTACACTTTCTGGACATAAAGTTCGCAACACGTTAATTCGAGCACGTTTTTCGCCTGCATTTAATACTGAACAAAGATTTGCTTACTCTGGAAGTGCTTATGGTAATTGGTATATATGGGATTTGTATTCCGGAAAAGTTGTAAGTCATTCTGTCCCCTCTTTATCTGATAATCTGTCAAAGTTTCGTAAAATTGTTCTTTTTTTCAATGTAGACAACACTCTTCGTGACTTGGTTGTTTCTTGAAATCTTAATAAATTTGTATATTTAATACCTGTGATAATAACGCTCGAAGTTTCCTCATCTTTACGAATGGGATGTTAATTTGCCTTAGACGAATATCTACGCTAGATTCCCTCTCACTGTCTATTCTACTGCACTTCAACACAGCTCAGATCTATAACACGTGATTAGCCTAACTAGAAGGTAAATACATTTCCACACCAAAAAAACCGACAACAATCAATGATAATAAGGATAGGAGAATATCTAAATCATTTAACGCCTATCAGACTCTACTAGTCTGACTAAGCAAACAACCAATGATTAACATTCTCCCCCACACACTTCCTCAATTATTTTCTAGAAAAATTTACTGAAACTGATTCCTTCTTTCTTTTTAGTTTCTTTACATATGTGATCTGTTTTAACAGAATCACAACAATAATATACGACAGTTCCAAACGTAGGTGAAAAATAATGTACTTGACCGAACGTATTCAGCTCATTTAAATTAGTTTAATAGGTCCATTTCAAGTGATTTGTGTCCAGCCAATGAGTGCTGATAGATATTTGTGATATACCATATGTGTGTGTCACGTGATCAAGCAATATTAACTTCACAACATTTGAGGCTACCAGCTTTTCTATAATAGTACGTAATAGTCATGCACTGTATATAATTTTTCGGAAACGTACTACTTGCACATTTTTAAGATTGCCTTTGCTTCATTATGTTCAATAAATACGCTAAGTGTAGGCTAATGTAAAACGTTAAAGCCGTCGAAGAGCTTAACTTCTGAAGAACTCGATAGTTGTTTTGAACAATCGTAACAGGTATCAGACAAGTGTATAATAATTAATTGGAAGTGTATTAAAGAGAACAAACTAAACTTTTGTCAAATAAATGCTACAAAACCTCAGCTGAACAGAGAAATGTACATTGAAAAGAGATCGTAATTCAATTCAAAATCTATAATTAAAAAAACGAGAAAAAATTCAGACAAACATTCAGAATTCTTTGTGAATGTATAACTCATCACATTATTATAATACAATGGTGCACTTTATACTATATTGTTGTTTATTTGTTTTATAGGTTAAACATTATTCGTGTGATGGGCATACAATACGAGATATAAATTGGCATCCATATGAACAGCAAATAGTTACCTGTGGTACAACGGGTGATATAAGTTGTTGGGTATATAATCGGAATAAAATGACACGTTCCAAGAAAAAGTCTCAGAAAAAAAAAGAAAGCAAACATTTAAATTCTTCTCTACCAATCGTAGAAGCTGATGACGAAACATTTCATGAACTACGTAAATTAGCTAAAGCTGGTTTAAAATATCGGGTAACTAAGTTGTTGTCATTATCGGTTATTTTTTAAACGTAGAAATTTACAGAATTGCTGTTGGTAAGGAAGAGTGTTGTAAATATTGCATATGTTTAAAAAACCTTTGGAAATAAGGTCACTTTAGCTAAGGATGCATTCATTTTTTGTCTTAAAGTACTTGTACTTTTTGTTCTGTGAATTCAGTTTCTTTTCGAATCCTATTGTTTCTGCCCTCCCCTTTTTTGCTACTCTGACATTGGTGATAAATTCTTCTCACTACATTAATGCTATCCGACAGCTTTAATCGATGTGCCAGGTTCTACTTTACTCGATCGACTTACTTATCTAGTAAACTAAATACAGATCGGTGTATACGGTTGGCTTTGACTATTGTGTTGTGGCAACTCATGATGCAACACTGGTCTAGCTAAAATACAAGGAGTACAATTCGAGTATGCGGCTGACAGCCATAAGTTTTAGTCACTATGCTACCACTCACCTAAGATTGTTTCGTAGAGGTTCTCAATTCGCGCGTCTATAAGATATGCGTACATAAAAAAACTCATCACAACTATAAAGACTACCATTTTTTATGTACACTATTTAGCATCTTCAACTATTAAAAGATGCTAAATACCTTGTCGGCCAATCGACAATAATTTTCTGACAAATAATCGTCTCCATCTATGTAAGGTTTCACTAGTATCGCAATAACAACTCAGAGCTCACTAAATGAAACAATTCTCCGTTAATATATTTTACTGTATCCAAAATTACAATGTATATATCTTCAATGTCACTTCGATGTAAAGTATGGCAATTTTGTTTGTCATACCTGTAAAACTGGGATATGTATTGAAGACGTTATTATTTATGCAGCACTAAACGCTGTCTAACGTGTTTAAGACAAGTTGTGATTACCTTCTCTATTGACCAAATAACCAGTGTAACATTATTGATCATTCTAATGTTCTATACCAGTCAGTTTTTTGTCTAACCTATTGTTGTATATCCATTAGGATGACGCATATTTGCGAGTGTTTTGTAAAACAAGTTTTTAATTGGCACTTTATCGTTGTGCTATTTTACAGATAAGTTTTTCATAACAAAACATATTCGTAGTGCAATCTTTCTTTTGTCAGTGAATTGTTTCATGCTATTTATCAAGCATTTAATCGGTCATTTAGTTGATCTTGCCTGCAACATGAACATGCGGATTAACATTTAATTTACCTAAACTAAATCTACAGCAATCAGACTTAAATTTGCATTACTATTGAATTTATTTCAAAATAATAGTCGACTTCAGAATATTATCCATGCATCACAAATAGACTTTAATAACTATAAGAAAACTATCAAAATATTCGTCATGTTGGATACATAGTGGGCTAGCAGGTACTGAAGGTTTTATAGTCTATTTATATGAGCAACATTTTGTGAATTTAAATTCCCGAAGTTTCTCTTTTCCTAATCCTTAGGTAAAAGGAATTTTTGAACGCCACAAGTCATCAATATTATCCCGCTTTATTGGATCTAGCGATTCAGAAGATGAAGATTTTATTACTGATTATGAATCAGATGAAAGTTCCATTTTTCCATTTGATCATTACTATTCCTTTATTGATGGCATATATTTTGATGAATACTATGAAGATATTGATTCAGACTTTTATCCACCATCTGATGATGAATTTCTTTTCGATACACAATCATATATACCTCCATTAACACGCAATCAACAGAGACATTTAAATCCCGATGAAGAATTAACTACTGAATCTATTAATAATGGATCCACAGCCAGGAATTCTCAAAGACCTAGCACTAGACCAAATAATCGCCAAACAAGATCAGCAACTCAGAGACAAACCCAACAAATTACTCCACAAAGGAGTATTCGTCGTTCATCCAGGAGACGTACACGAGGAAGGTCTAGGAACTAGAAACATTATTCATATTATCAGTAGAGATTATTCATGCGAATTTTTCATATTTTATTTGTTTCAATAAAAGAACATATTTATGTTTCGACGTTCATATCCTTTTTTTCTTCACAATCATAAGTTTAGAATATGTTTATTTTTTGTCTAAACTAAGGTAATTAGGAAAACCTGTACAATCAATGCAATTCTTGCTAGGTCATTTCTGTAGTCTACACAAGCTGATCTAACTTATGTAAGTACAGTTTGAGAATAACGGTATTTGTCCATGAGAATTACTGTATACTGAATACGCAACATCTAATTATTCTATCGATCCCTTCTTCACACTTGGCCATAGTTAAAAGATTTTTGATCATGAAATCCATACATGAAGCACTAAAACTAAACCTATTTTTGTATTGGTTGTTTGGATCTCTCCATCATTGTTTAGGACTGCAATTGATCAGTCTCTTATTGGCATATGTTCATCCTGTTCGGACTGCCTAGATATTGACTTAAGTTACAAGCATTATAAGTAGAGATGGATGGTGGCTATCAGTGGAATCCAGGACGCGTGTCCCGTGCTATTTGGTACTCGTCAGCTGGATGTGCCTGCATCTCCATTGCACAAGCAAATGGATAAGTGGATAGTGCAATGGCGTTTGAGGCGAAAAGTACCATGTCCGAGTCCTGGAGTGAATATGAACATCCAGATGACGAGTCAGAAACAGGACGAGACGCGTCCTGGAATCCACTGCTAGCCATCATCTAATTCTGCTTATAATTCGAACTATACTTAATTGTACTTTTTAAAATATCTATTGTGAATTCAAACACGTCAAGTAAAATCGTTTGCTCACATAGTTTTTTTCTCGAAAAATATCCTGTTATAATTCTGTTGGGTTCGAATAGATGGCACGGTCCCTATAGTTTGTTACTGATACATATACATTAACTTTCGGTCAACCAAGCCAAATTGATTTTCCTCATTATTAAAATGAAGTGCCAATGTTCACAAGTTCGAATAATGTGATTATCTGAGTAGAAACACCCTCAAAATCTTATAATTATTTTCTGAACTCAATCAATGATTGATAAAAAACAACTAAAGAGTAGAAGAATATTTGTTTACAGTAAATGAAATATATGTACATATTATTTTCAGTTCGTGCAAAAATTCGTAGTCATGGATAGTCACAAAATGTAGACGCAGAATTAGACGTGATCTATTGTATAATATACATAGGATAAAGATTTACATAGAGGATTTTTATCGGCTATTCAGTTCTCGTCTTGAAGAAATTGTCTGATACACAGAGATGACATGAATAATAAATATACATAAAACTATGATATCATCTAAAATTCCTATGAAACCGGCAACTACATCCGGAATAAAATCGAAAGGTGTAATCAAATAAAACAAAACGCATAAACCCAACAAAGTTAAACGGATTTGCATCAAAGCGAATGTGCCTTCACCACTAAGTAATAATTGTATAAATCCATAAACAAATAACGGAATGTCTTTAATACGATCAATTATCTGAAAAAGAAAACAAAAATAGCCGGATACTATTCGATGATTGTGGAGGGGAACATCGTAAAAACAATCACTCAAGCTACTCCTCTATAAACGAATTTATTGTCATAAAGGTTACTTGATAATTAGATAGTCGTTCACTGGTTAAAACGCTAAGCATCTGCTAAGAGACGAAGGTTTTTGGTTCAACCCTGATGGGATCGTGAATATGCACTATTAGAATCCCATGCTAAGACAACTGTCCGCTGTTTCCTAGTTGTCACACTAAGACTGGTAAGCAATGTTAACTGTTAGCAATGAAATTCACTGGTCTCCACAAACCAACTCCCACAGTGATGGTAATTGTCTGTTGTCAACAAAGTGGGAAAGTCTTAGTAGAGCTATCTCTGTGGACTGTATTTCAGAAAAACACACTTCCAGTGTACCTTGTTTTCTCTTGTTGTGACATTGAACGAGTTATTCAAAACAAACGAATATGAAAGAGCACAAAGGGTAGTTTTATTTTAAAATATTAGGAAATCCGTAAAATATCTTATTAACACTAAATACGGTAAAATCACATTGTTAAACTATCACTGATATTACATTATTGGTAACAGCCTAGATGGTTGGATACATACATGCCAATTCATATGTTCCGTCATATTAAGAAGACACAAAATAAACATTTAACTATGATATTCTATCTACCATCTTTCTTAGATTGTTTTTATCTGCTCAGACAAACTGAACCGTATTTTTTCCAACAACTTTATTAAATATATAAAAAATTATTTAATTTGAGGTTATTGCTTGTCACAAACTCTTCAATCTGTCTAATAATTATACTCTAACTAGTAACTGGTTTTAAGGTACATTGTTAATGTTTTGCTGAAAAACAATGCTGTTGTACAGGCATGTATATAACTGTTGGTGATTGCGATTAAATGATCTAAATATTTCATGTTTGGGTTGACCTTTTGCAAGCCATGATCAATTTACTTGAATCCTACTCATAAGTTTCAATGTTTTCTGTTGACTACTTGCAACCAATTAACATTAAATGATATTTTTGGAGTGTTAACTCTGAACGATATTACATTTTCTCACATAGTCTGTAAATCAGAATAGGTAGCTTTAATCAATAACTAGTAGTAATTATTTTTTAATTGAATAGAATACGCCAGACAAAGGTATGGATTACATTGTGACGAACAGGGAGCACATTTGAAGAGAATAAATAAAAATTCATTATAACAAGAATAATGTATAGTCGTAGAGATAGTTCTGTTAGTAACACATACGATATAATTTAAATTCTTTCAGTCTAAGCAGTCCTCGCATTTATGAAGAATGTAAAAGTAAATCGCAGCAAGATTGTCATTGATTTCTGTCCATAGTCATATCTAATAACGTCTCGAGCCACTCAATTCCACCATCTCTTGGACCCCAAACCAGAGAGTCGTGATGCACCGACAGATGACAGTCCTATACAGCTTCCTTTCATATCACGATGCCACGATATAAACTGGTCAATTCTCTGCTTTTCCAACCAGTCCCAGCGTCGGTTGGATACCAGCAATTCCTCAAAGGCAATGATCGTCGAACACAGAGCTGCCTACTTTCTTCGATTCGGAGAGGTTTAACATACATACAAGAAAGTTGATCTCACAGACGCGTTGTTGATAAGGCCTTTCACAACCACATAAGCATCCCGACGGCACCAAAGATGACCTAGATCGGTATAAGTCAGTTTTGTTTTTACTATACGTAGAATGGTCTCATCAGTCAAGCCAACACTAACACTCATACAACAACTCAGATACACGGACGTTCCAACTACTTCTAACGGCTCACTTCCAATTATGAGTGCCGAAATAGGCTTGAGTATTATTGCGCACATTAAAGACAATATCAACCGCAAGACCGGGAAGTCTTTCTTCTGGTAGCAGATCCACACCACTAATACCTAATTTCATGAGAGCTGTTTCCAGTGTCATCGATGGCAAATTTGCAGAGGAATGGTAGGGCTGGATAACCCTGCTTGACCTCACTGCTAGAATGAAATAGTGAAGAGAGGTGGTTGCATGTCTTTACTCCGTCTGAGGTGTTTGTATATAAGGGCTTCAATATGCTAATGAAGTTTTCAAGCACACTCTTCTTTAGTAGACCATCACAAAGTACATTTCTGTTCAACACATCGAAGGTGGTCTGTCATCAGGGTTGCTTCCGAGTTCAGTCAACAAAAATACATACATTTATAGACAAACTTTATGCTTCTTCGGTTTTACTTTACAACCAACTACAAATTTTACAGCTGGAATACGCCAGAGTCAACCATATGGAATAGGGCGAAATATCAACCAAATAGGTTGCTCGAATTAATGTCAATTTCGATTAATCTACAAAAATAATTTATTTATGAAATGCATCGTAAGAAATATACGGTGCATTTCAAGTTTATTAAAAGTATTCTGAATTGAAATTATTATCAGAAAAATGAAAACATACTTTTTATTTACTTTTTTTAAACAAACTTACTGAAATCGGTTCGCCTGAATGCCAACGATTGAATAATCGTAAATCTGCTTCAATTTTTGATCGTCTAGTGTTCTCACGTTGCAACTCTTCTGCGGTGAATAATTTAGTCAACGTTGAAACCTGAACACCACATAAAACATTTCTTTAAGATAAATCATCCGTAACTAAATAAGTTATGAATTATGAATCATAAATGTTGGTTGATTGATTATTGAAACGGTCACCAGTGAATCACTAGTCAAAATGTGACCAACTAAACAACCACTATTTATAACTGTTCAGTGCATTAGCAGCATTGTATGAAAAACTCCTGTGAAAATCTTCCAATCAATAAAGTTGTTTGTGATAAATCTTCTGAATGAGCGCTTAAATCGGTTTCCTAAGAGCCTCTAGTAACGTATATGACAACTTGAAAATGAGGGAAAAGTCGCGAAATGTAGAAAAAAACACCTTACTCCAAGGTCAGTTTAGGTACAGAAAGTCGATGGTCTTTCAGATGGCCTTTGGCTTTTGGAAGGTTCTGGAACCTTACTAAAAATAGTAGAATAGGCAATCATCAAGTCGGAAATTTGACACGTATATCTTCACCTTCTAGACGTTTCTGATGAACTTCTATTCAATGCTGATTAGGTGTTTTTAAGGCCCCTTTGGGTTTTATATATATTGGGCTCATCCTCTTTTTTTGATAAAAATGCGTAGACATTGAAAGGAAAAATCACTATTCACCTCGTAGTCTTCACTTTCACTATTGAATTTCCATTTATCACTCAATGAATAACTCCTTGTTAAACTATTATGAGTGAATATTTTCCATATAACTAACAGTTTTCATAACCTAGTAAACACACACATAACCAACCGGCTAGTGGTTCTACCGTCTGAAATCTATTCCGTCAAGATATGACCGCTGATTCTGTGACTAAACTACCCATTTTCATAACTATATCTCACATAGATTAGAACTACTTAAAAAACTTTAAAATAACGTCGTGAGATTTCAGGATTCCCGAAACGTACAATCTAAAATACCTACAGACTTAGATAAT